CCTCTGGGGATCTCATGGCCATTACCAGGCTCTCAGTGTTTCTCAGGGTCTTTTTCAGGGTCTGAGTCATATTAAGTGCTATTCCCAGGGTGTCATCTGGAATTAGATAGTTCCTCAAGGGTACCGTGTCCAGGGTTTCTGCCAGGGTCTCAGAAAATCTCAGCAGCTTTACTAGGTTCTCAGTAGAGTTCAGTGTTATTCCCAGGGTCACAGGGTTGCTCAGGCCAGTTCAGAATCTTTTTGAGTCTCAGGGCATTTCCCAGGGTCACAGTGGTGCACAGAAACTTCTCCAGGGTGTGAGTGGTGTCATTTTCTTTCCAGGCTCTCAGTGAAGCTATAGTCTTTCCAGGTTACAATGGTGCTAAGGGCCTTCCCCAGAGCTTAGTGATCCTGAGGACCTTCTTCAGGGTATCAGAGGAGTTCAGGGTCTACCCTAGAGTTTCAGGAGGACTCAATGTGTTCTCCAGAATTTCAATCTTGTTCGAGAGGTCCACATGGATTTCATTGTGCTCAGATTATTTCCAAGTGTTTAGAAACTCTAAGGTCTCAACAAGATTCACAGAGTTGTCAAATTCATTCATGGTTGTCTCAGTGGTGTTCAAAATTTTTCTCAAAGTCTTTGGAAGGCTAAGAGCCATTCTTAAGTTGACAGATGTATTCACAACCTTCCCAAAAGTCTTAGTGATCTCATTGCCTTCCCAGGCTCTCATTGCAGCTCAGCAACCTTCCGAAGGTCACCATGTGCTCAGAGCCTTACTGAGGGTCTCAATAGTTCTCATCACATTTTCCAGGGCTCACCGAGTTTCAGAGCCATCCCCAGAGTCTCCTTTTCTTTTCTGTGTGTTTGCAGGTTTCCCATGAAGCTCAGTGCTAGTCTCAGAGCCTCAGTGAAGTTCAGTGCTTCTTCCAGCCTCAGAATGATGTTCTGAGAGTTCTCCAAGGTATCACTGGGTTTAGGGACATTCAGGGTTTCTTAATAAAGCCCAGAGCATTACCCAAGGTCTCTCTGAAGCTAAGTGTCAATCCCAGCATCTCAGTGGTGCTCACCATTGTCCCAAGAGTTTGACTAATGTCAGGGCAATTCTAAGTTTCATGGTGAGGCCTAGGATCTATCCTCTTCTTCCAGCAGGTTTAGAAACTGTGCACAATATATTGTGGTGCTTAGACTCTTCCCCAGTTTTCTGGAAACATAATGGCTCTTACTAGTGTCTCCAAGGGGAATAGTGCCTTGCCCAGTGTGTCATTGTAACAGGGAAATGTTTCCATTGTCACAGTTGTGCTCAGTTCCCTCCCCACTGTGTCAGTGGCATTTGGGCCACTCCATTTTTCCGAGTGTAAGCTCAGGGCTTTCTTCAAAGTTTAACTCTGACTCAGTGCTTTCCCCAATGACTTACTGGGTGGAGAGAATTCTCTAGGGGTGTTTTGTTAGTTTATTTTGAGTTCTCAGGTATAATTGGTTTTCAGATTTTCCCCAAGAACTTCTGTGTGCTAAAGTTCTGAAATGGCTTCTCAGTGGGCTTTGTGGCTTCCACTAGGGTCTAAGTTTATTTGTGGACCTTTCCCAGGATATCCTTGTGTCTCAGTGAGATTCAGACTCGGAAAGAAAGCTCACGGCTGTCTTCTGTTCTTTACTGGGCCTCCATGACTTCCACAGTATATCAGTAGTTCTTTTAATTATCTCCAGGATCTCAGTGAGAGAGAAGGCTATCTGTAGTATTTTAAGGGTGTTCAGATGTTTTTAACAAGTGTGTGATTTAAAGGCCTTTAAAAGTGTGTCTTAGAATTCAGGCATTCCCTGGTGTTTAAGTGGGATTTAGAGATTTTCCCAGTGAATCACTGGAATTTAGAACTTCTCCAGGTCAGTATGAATCCCATGGCCTTTCATATGCAATCAAGGGAGTGTGATTCTTTCCTTGCCCAGAATCTCAATGAGTTTTATGGTCTCCTCTATTGTCACAGTTATGTTCAGGGTGGTCTCCCAGAGTCTCAGTGTTCTCCTTCCATTCCTCAGGCATTCAGTGGATCTTTTGAACATTCCCAGAATCTAAATGTGGTTCAGTATGTTCCCCAAATTTTCACAGAGCCAAAAGTACTGCTCCAATCCTCAGTGGGACTCATTACCATTACCATCCCCTCAGGTTTTCTCAGAATATTTTGCAGTGTCTCAGTCATGTTCAGTGCCATTTCCAGAGTGTCACCTCAGCTTAAATATTTCCCCAAAGGTAGACTGTGTTCAGTGTCAGCAAATCTCAGCCCCTTTTCCAGGCCCTCCGTGGAGTTCATTGTCATTCTCAGGGTCACAGTTGTTCCCAGGGCCTTCTTCATAGTCATATTGGTGTCATTGCCTTTCCAAGGAATCAGTGAAGCTATAGTTTTCCTAGGTTACACTGATGACCAGGGTGTACCCCATTGTCTACCTGACACTCAGGGCCTTCTTCATGATATCAGAGGAGCTCAGGGGCTTTTGTTTTTATTTGTTTTGTTTTGTTTTTGTCAGTGTGTCTCATGACCTACTCTAGGGTCTCAGGAGGGCTCACGGCCTTCCTCAATATTTCAGTCAAATTTAGAAACCTCCACATGTTCTTCCTGGTGCCCAAATTATTGTCAATGCTTAGAAGAGGCTTATGGCTTCAATAAATGTCTCAGTCTTTTAATCTCTCTTTGCTCAGTGGTGTTAAAATTTCTTAAGAGTCTTAAGAATGCTAAATGTCTTCCTTAGGTTGGCAGATGTATTCACAGCCTTCCCAGGAGTCTTTGTGGTCTCATAACCTTCACAGGTTGTAAGGTCAGATGAGTACCATTTCCATGATCACCTTGTGCTCAGGTTCCTTCCTGGGGTCTTAATAGGTCTCATTGCCTTTTCTAGACTTCAATGCCATCCACAGTGACTCCTTTTTACTTGGTTTTCTTGACTTTCCCCATAGGCTCAGTGCTATTCTCAGAGTATCAGTTGATGTTCAGTGTTTCTTCCAGCATCAGAGTGACACTGAATCTTCCCAATGGAAACATTGCATTCAGGGCCTTTCAACATTTTTTACTGAATCTCAGGGATTTTTTCTGTGTGTCTGTGGAGCTCAGTGCCATTTCTGGCATCACAGTGGTGCTCAGGATATTCTTGGTGTTTAATTGAATGTTAGATCCTTCCGAAGTATCATACTGAGGCCTGGGGCCTACCTTAATCTTTCAGTGGATTTTATTATGCTTCACAATATCTAGTAATGCTTATATTTTCCCCCAATTTCTTGGAAAATATTGTCCTTCACTAGTGTCTCAATGGGGATTAGTTTCTTGCCTAGTGTGTCATTGAAACTCAGGGATATTCACATTGTCATAGTGTTACTCAGGGCCTACCCACTCTGTCAGTTGTACTCAGGGCTACTCTATGTTTTTTAGTGGAAGCTCAGGGATTTCTCCAGAGTCTCAGTCTGGCTCAGTGTTCACTTCAATGGCTTATCAGACCTCAGAGTATTTTCTGGGTTTTTTTTTTAGGCCTCAGGTATGATTTGGTCTTATATTTTCCCCCAGTTCTTCTGTGAGAGCAAAAACCTTTAGTAGCTTGTCAGTGGGGTTTCGGGCCTCCATCAACTCCAAATGTGTTTGTGGACCTTTCCCCAATTCCCCTTGTTTTTTTGCTGTTCAACAATGAAACTGAAGGCTTTTACATATTATTTAGTGGGACTCATTACCTTCCACAGTATATTGGTAGTTTTCAGGACTATCTCCAGAATTTGCTTATGATTCAGTGTTGTCCATAGTATTTCAGGGATACTCAAATGCTTTTCATAATTTTGTGTGATTTAAAGGCCTTCAAAAATGTCTCTTGGCATTCAGGCCTTTACTGGTGTCTAATTGGTGTTCAGAGCTTTTCCAAGTGTATCACTGGAATTCAGGGCTTTTCCAGGTCATTAATGAGGCTTATGGCCTCTGGATCTGATTTAGTGAATAGCAGAGCCTTGTGTTGTGGCATGTTCTAGATATATCACTGGATGAGACTTAAAGGAAGACATGGACATTTATTCACTGTTTGGCCAAGGGCCACTGACAACATTGTCACTGCACATCTCAACCCCTTACAGAAAGTAGGATATCTCTTTTGTAGCCCTGCAACCTGCAATCTACCAGTAATTCAAAACCATAGCTATATAGTAGGTGGGTCAGAATAACCCAGTTCAGTGTTCAGTGCACTTCCCATGAGAAATATCAACTAAAAGCGAGCATCTTACAACTGTATTTCTTGATAATACAATCTTTAAGAATAAGAAAAACATTTTTCAACCACTATGGCTTGCCAAACAGTGTGTGGTTGGCAGGAGGTGGTAGAGGCAGAGGTTTCTCACAGAACAAATCTTTCTTATATGAAATGGAGTCTAAGGTAGAATGAAGTTTGTCTAATCAAGACACATGTAGTTTGGTCCATAATTTTCCAATTTTATCTAGAAACAATCAAACCTTTGATTTATCTCTGAATCCAGGAAGAGGTTGTAATTGCCAAACAAATATGATAATTTGACTGACAAAATATGTTATTTTAGTAGCTAGGGTTTTATAAAACAGTCTGAGTAATAGACAAAACATGAGCAACATGTTTTATTCTTATATTTAGAGGGTGGTTGAGGCCTCTTAGGGCTATTTGCTCTTTTTTTTTCTTTCTTCTTTTTTAAAATTAATTAATTAATTTTTTAGGAGACTCCATTGTGCTGTCGATATAGTCTTCTGTCTGGAATGGGTGTTGGAAATTAATGGTCTCTTGTGGTTTCTTCTCTCCAAGGAACTGATAAGCTTCAGGTTGAACCTGTTGAAGAGACTTAAAAACAGGTTGAAACAGGAGTATGCTATCTTAGATAGAATGGAGGAAGGGCTCTGGAGTTCGAACATTTTAATCCTCCAGAGGTGGACTCCAACTTTTTGGACCCACATCAGTTTCCATTTTTTTGTGATCTGACCCAATTACCTCTCTACACTAACTGAATTTTTTATTTTATTTCCCTATCTAATTCTAGGGACTCCTTGCTGCTGTAAGAAAAAGGGGGAGGATCACTCTTGTGGGTAAGGTTATAATGGGCCTCATGGTAGTGGGACAAGCAGTTGGAGTCCCCTATTAGAGATAGATGAGTCAAGATGTCCATGGTAAAAGTCTGATTTGGGAAGAACAGGTTGTAAAGTCATCTTGAGGTGGATGTGGGAAGCCACTCCTGAGCTATTTAGTGACTTCACTTGGCCTTGAGCCAGGGAGATTTTGGTTTGGCATTGCAAGTCATTTTGTGGCTTCTCCCACTTCATGAATTATGCAATGCAAGTGACTTCAGTCTTACCTTGGCTGAAGGGGTTGCTCTTGTAGCTTCAGAATTAGGTATGACCCACTGGGCCTGGACAGCCCACCTTCTACCTTATTTGGCAGAAGAATATTGTATGGAAAATCTTTGAAGTTTCTCCAGACATAATAAAGCAAATTTGGACTCTCTCTTTTCAGTGTGGAAGCTTGATTTGTAAGGCCAAAGAGCCATCCCACCCTGCTTTTCAAAATTACTTTCTGTGTAGTGTGGTTTTTCTGCTGCTTTCTTTTCTTGGCTGTATTTCCCAGCTAGACTGCTTGATGCAAAAGAAACCCCAAATTCCATCACCTGTGCAGGATGTTGTGGGGAGCCACTCCAAATGCATGCACCTTTAAGTACTGATGCACCACAGGGATCTGAAAGATTACTGTAGTCTGGCATGGTAGTGCCATGGATCATGTCTTGGTCTTATTGTGGGCTGAATTGTAGAAAGTAAGTGAATTAGAAGAAAAAATGTGACATTATACTTTTAATATTTGGGAATATTTTGCCTTTAGAAAGAGAAAAAAATAATTTTTATGATTCTAGAGACTCTAAATAAATGTAAAGAATTATTAAGATGACTAATGGGATATGTTGTTAAGTTCAGTCCTCTCCCATGGGCAAAGCACTTCTGTGGACTTTTTTGAACTGTTTTTATGAATCTTTATATTGTAAAATATTAGGTAACATTTTTTGGGGGGCTTATGTACTAGAAGTCTGTGCTTAGAGAGTGAGAAAAAGGAAAGAAGGAATTTGTGATGAGAATTGATACAAGGATTCTTTACATGTAGTGAAATGAATTTTATTTTTCTATTGTTTTTGTGAATACTCAGACAGGTTATTCTGAACCTCTTTGCTACATTCTTGACCTACCACATCAGAATCAAAAGACTTTAGCCACTGTTCTATAATGGGGTCTGTAACTAGACCCACCACCAGCAGTGCTTTTAACCCTTAAACAACCTGAACTAGGTGCCAAACGCAAACTGCCTTAAGATCTGATAGTAATACTGGCATCTGCTGTTAAAACACACATTTTAAAGTCCCACATGCTGCAAGGGAAAATAGAAAAGACAGAAGAACACCAGCTGCATCAAGCACAGGGAGCAGAGACAAGGCAAGCTGCCTCCCACCCTAGGATCCTCCCCAGCTGCAGAAAATACAAACAAATCAAATGGAATGCAAGTGGCCAGGGAAGCTCAGGGAGCCTTTGCCCCAGACAATGAGCAGCTGGTCCCTGTGGTTTTCATCACCAAGGTAACAACAGGAAGCCTGGAAGGCCCAGAGATTTCCTGGTCCTGCCTACTGTATTTTCCCGGCTTCCCATTGGTCCTTTCACTGTCACTCAGACAGGACTTCTGGTCCCACTTTCCAGCCACTAACCTGTACTTCCTGTTTTATCCCTGCTACCAGGAGCTGCACAGAGACTGCATTTTAAAAAATATCCACCTATAAATACTAGTAAAAGATCTTTTTTAGACAAAATTTAATTCCACATGCTTCTACATTGCATCCCTGAGCGTAACTTTTTCAAAGTTTCTAAGGTAACTTACCAATTCTTTTCTTTATAGCTGTATTTTAAGAAAAATTACAGAGATAATGTAACACTTATACAAAATATATAAGCTTCTTTATATTTTGCTTTTAATTTTGAAGGTTATGAAGAAGCATTTGCTTGTCTTAGGAACTAAAGCTGGCAATGTCTCTGTGATAATCAAAGAATCCTCATTCTCATACCTGAGTATATAAATAGAAGACATAAGTAAATGTATACAGAAGGATCTTAATATGTTATAGCAGAAATATAAAACAATATAATCTAAGAAAAATTAAAATGTATCCAAATATCATAAGAACCACGTGGTTGCATAAAGTTAATTCAATTATCAGTTATGCCCTTATTTTTAATACATATTTTTCTAGGGATTTGGATAACCTATAGTTGTTAATTCATTAAAAAATTAGCATATATGTATAATTGATTATTTAGTTTATATTTATCTAATAGTTTTTCTTCCTCAGAATACACATAATTTATATATTACTTAAACATTCATTTTTCTGATGCTCTGCCTTTTAGTTACATGTATTTGAGATAAATGTATTTTACTATAAGTTTGCTTCCAGGAGATAATACAACTATCAAGTAATCTCTCTCAAATATTGTACAAACTCTATAAGTTAATAAACAAATATAATTAATTCTGTCTACAGAGTTATACAGTGGTTTTAATTATATTTTCATTGAGGTATTTCTTCATATCAATGTACAATAATTTGTTAGATTCTAAGGTTTTCAAATATTGTTTCAAGGAAAAACCCAGGAAGAATTCTAAAAGGAAAAGAAGATACTTCCACAGAGAGGAAGCACACATTGAAGGTCCTAAGAGGAAGAAATGAATCATCTTTGGGTAAAACAAGGTCTTTGTATTTTGAATTTTAATGATAAAAAGTGTTTTCCTAAAAAGGATAATCTGTATGTCATTATGTAGACAGATGATATAGAGAGTTAAAACAATTGAAAAAGAGATTTATATGAACTGGACTGACTATAAAAATTTTAACTAATTCAAGAGTATTTCAGGCTATTTTCTTGATTTTACTATGCTGAAGTGAGCTAAGATTTTATCCATGTTTTGACATAATAAAGACCTATTAAAATGTTAAATGTATTTCCTTTAAAGAAGATTTTTATTGTGTAATGATTCTTGTTGTTACAGTAAGGATTAATTTTAGTAAATAAATTCACATCCTTGATTAAACACTAAATATATTAAACTACTGACTTAGATTCCAAATTTGACAATTCTCCTTCAAGACTAAATTTAATTGATTCAAAGACCCTGCTGAAATTCACAAATTACTTTTTTTTTTTTTTTTTTTGCTGGATTGTTGTGAGATTTGGGAGAACATTGATGTTCTCCAAACTAAAGCCATACATTGGTTTAGAGCAATGAAGTTTGCAAACTTTGTTGGAAATTCATTGGTATTATATAAGTTCTTTGATTGGACCTATTATTTATCAAAAAATGATAAGATGTACATACTACTCCCTACACTGGGAAGTAAGCTTAATCATATTTTCTCAAGACAATTAAGAGACACCTATTTAAAGGATAATATTCTGAGATATAGAGATATTTTGGACACTTCTCTCAAGAAGAGATTTAGGGCTTCCTATAATTTAAATTACTGATATTATGATTTATACCATCATTTTAAATAAAAAAGGGAAAAAATAGAACCCCAGAAGCACACACTAGATCTTACAAGTATTTAAAAAATTTTTCTTAAATTGTAGTACTGAGAGTTTTATTGTTACTCAACATGATTCAGTGAATTAAATCAGATTTCACAGGAGAGTTCAAACTTCTCATCATGAAAATGACTGAAAAACCTGAAATAGTAAGGTAAATCTCCCAACTGCAGAATTTAGAGCCATGCAACTTCATGAGCTTATTATGCAAGTAAAAATTATGAAGAGATTTCTATAGACCCATTTCTCAGGTCCACCTTTAATGTGCCTTTAAGTGTGGACTGGAAAGTACACCCATGAACTAGATTACTTGTACTGACTGTAATGTTCAATTATTCCTATATGTTGATATTATGGTAAACAGGTTTTCTGGGAGTGTCTTTTGAGAAAAAGACAGCATATAGGAAACCTCAACCAGCCAATCATGCTGGTCCTTAAAAGTTAAGACTATACTTACTTTTCTGGACAAGTGTCAAAAAGATTGTTAAAATATATATTTTTTTCTATACAGGCCAGTTATTTACATAAGATATCCACCAACATATTATTCTCCTATTCATTCTACAATTGGAATTGACACTTTTCCTAAGTGTTTAGATTGCCAGTGCAACACAAGATATCTAGAAATAATGGATATATTTTAGACTGGTCTCCCAGAATTGACAAAGCTAATTATGCAAGGATGCCATAACCCTTGGAAGTTTATTGGTAATAATCTAACCGTCAGTGAGTTGGCACCCAAAAGGATGTTTAGATGTTTGACTTCTACCTTCAAAATATTTACATTACTGACAGACCTAAAAATCTTCTTAAATGTGAGAATTAACTGAAAGGATGATGAATATCCTGTAGCCTTTAAGAATACAACTATTATTATTGTGTCACTAGTTATTGCCAGCTAATATTTCAGAGGTATAATATGCTGAAGTTAACATTCAGGCTTTGAAACAGGTGCATGCCAGTTAACCAGACCTAGGCAAGCTCCTGATCTCATGATCCTTGAAGTGACTACATTAAGTATCATTCCTTGCTTCTATAATTATAGTCTTATGGCTATGTTTTAAACTTAGAATATGTGAATTTTCTTAAGATTTGATTTAAATCACTTCCAAGATCCTTCATAGTCAGATAAGTTCTGATGGAAGAATTGTAACTAAGTTAAAATGCTCTAGAAGACAGTATACTGAATAATGCAAATGAGCCTTCTGCTCTGTGGTTTGTGGATAGGCTTAAATGCCATGCCAATTAAATACGTCTGTGTTACTATGGCCAAATGCAATGCTTCCCAATAAAAAAATTGAGAAAAGATTAAAAATCTTCTGATGAGTGTTTGTCAGAGTAATAATAATAACCTGGATCTTGCAAGTTGACTATATTATTGAAATGATATGTTTTCTACTAATTCCTTTTGTGTTTCAATAGTAGATTATGATGACCTTGGACCAAGAATCCAGTGACTAAAACATGTAATACCCCAATTGCCTATAAATATTAAGAAACAGGGAATTTGTGGGTAGCCACTCCAAATTCAGACGTCTTTAGTCCTGATGAACCATGGGGGTCTGAAAGATCACTGTAGTGTGGGGCAGCAGTGCCATGACTGGTTCTCCATCTTTTCTCATGGTTGGATAATAAGGTGTGGTCCTGGGAGTAGCCCTAGGAGTAGGTGGAACCCAGAATTGTTGAGTGTGGGGAGCCACTCTGAATGATCTGCTCCTTCCATCCTGGAGGGGAGACAGTTTGACGGGCACTACGTAACATAGTGACCTGGACATTGCCTGGGTCTTGGAAGTTAGAGGGCACATCATCAGACATAGGCATGTCACCCCGTGGCCCTTTGGGTCAAATTACATTCACCTAGCCTATGTAACTCTGCCACTCTGACCTTTTTTGAATGGAACATTCTAAGAATGAGGGTCCCCCAATAAAAGCCCACTTCTCAATATGCTCATTCTCTCTCATCAGCTTCTCTTGACTTTCTCTTGCTCTCCCATTTGGGGAGCCTGAGGCAGAGAGTGGAGAACCCATCCTGAAGCTTGATTAAAGGTAAATTATGTGTTCTTTTTCTTTGGTGTCCCTGGAAATTCAGATGAGTGACCTTAAGTTCAGCTGCCCATGTGGGCAGCAGTTGAGCTACACTCACCTTTTCTCCTGTAATCCTATGCTTTGCCTCATTTGAATGGCTTCTTCACAATGAAAGGTTCAGCAAGTGCTCCTCTCTCTCTTTCCACAGACCCCAAGGTTGCAGGAGCCATCACAAAACCCAAAGAAAAAGGTATTTCTCTACCTCTATGTGGTTATTTTGTGCAGCCCAGTTCACCTGGAGTGACCTTGAGTATTTAGTCATGAGACTAGACAGGGCATGGGTCTATGAAAGAAAGATAAAGACATGAGTGCTGATATGAGATTAATACAAGATAAATGTCTCATCATCTGGAACATGTCAATGAATACCATGAAGATGCTAGAAATCAATAATCTCTCACAAGGAGGTGTCAGAGCTGAGGAGTTGTCCTCATAATAATGCCTAAAAGGCCAGAGAAGACAAAGCTAAATTTGGGAATGTAAATCTTTAACCTGGTCAGAGTTATCAAGAATGTAAACACAACATTTAGTTAAGCTACTTAATGCCACCTGATTTTTGTAAAATATCTTTTTATTGGAATGACCTCTGTTTTCATTTTAAGTGTATTTGTTAGATATTCAAGATCAAGCTGGTCAAAGTGAACTTGTTCTTATCTATCACTAAGAGTCAGCTGAGTGAGTTCTCTTGGGGTCTCTGTTGGGGAACTAATGAGCAGCTGTTTAGCTCTTTTAATGCCATCCACCAGAATAAGGTAAGGTCTTACTGACCTTGTGGCTTCCCTTGGAAATACAAGGGATATCTCTCTTTTCCAATGACTCTCCTTTTTCACAGTGTGTATACTGATGGGATTTCTTTTCTAAGGTTCCAGTAATCCCCCTGATTAGGAGGTCATGTGGCCCAGAGTTGCAAAGCTCCTAGAGAATTTCCCTTGTTCCTGGGTTCAAGCTGACTCAGAGGGCAAGAGCTAAGTATTGGGTTTCTTGCTCCCCACCCCATTTTTTTTTAACCTTAATCCTTAAGCCTTGATCTTAAATATCCTGCAATCCAGTCTTAAAGTAAGAGTACTGGGCTTTAACTTTAATGTTTATAACTTTACAGTCATCTTTAACTCTTTTATTTAATTGGAGTCTCTATTAGTACTAGAATTTAGCATTGTATACTATCTGTCTATAGATGATGGCCGTATATTTAAAATTAATTCAGGTTGTTATCTTTGAAATTTTACTTTTGTAAGGCACTAATATATAGCAGTTAAAGTTTAAAAGGAAAATTAAAAAGGAAATTAACAAGAGCAAAAACTCTTGAAATTAACAAGAGTAAAAAAAATTAGTTTGTACATAATTTTAAACCTTAGCTGAGTTATGGATTATATCATATGTTTTGACCACAGAAATCTTTAAAATAAATATCAATCTTTTGAATAAAACATTAAGTGAGATGAGTCTGGCCTAACTTATTGTGTTAGTTAACACCATATGACATTATCTGTAATAAGGATTAAAGGAAGGCTAAGAGAGGTTTAACTTTCTTTTTTTGAAAAAAGTGGCAAAACATTTTCATGTTTTACAAGATTAATCTTTAAGTAGATCAGTCCCTCATTATCTTTTAGAAATACATTTACATTTTTATCCTAGTGTAACAAGTAACATAAGGTTTATGTTCGGTTACAGAATATTAAATAACATAAATAAATCCCTCCCCAAATTTGTTATCCTTATAAGTCTAAAGTTACCATTAGACACAACTTTAGTTTGGAGGCCACTAGCTTGATAAAATGTTCTTTCAAAACTTTTACTGTCAGGGTTGTGGCTCAGCAGTAGAATGCTCACCTAACATGTGTGAGGGAGGCCCTGGGTTTGACTCAGCATCACTTAATAAAATAAACATAGAAAACAAAATTAAATTTTTTACTTTAAAGTCTTCTATACCTGAAATATAGGAATACATTTAATATACAAAGAAGTTTAACAGAGTCATAATTACATAGATGTTTACATATTAATCAAGTTTAGCTTTTAAAGAAACATCTAGACTCTGTAATTTAGTACAATACTCTAAAATAACAATATAAACCTTGATTTTTAACACTAACTGCTCTAAATTGTAAAAAAAAACCAGACTCAATGTTAAGAGCAAATTAATATTTGAAGAAATCCTTGACATTTCAACAGTATATTAAACTTTGGTTTATATCAATACATTAATATTTGACTTTAGAGAAAAACCTTGAGTAGATTTTACTGATTGTGTTACTTATGTATAACCAACTTAATCACACACAAACCTTTTAAAATTTACATTTCATTTATATAGACATTTTTATCACTTAATTATATTCTTTTTTTTAATTTAGATGTTTTACAACTTTACTACATAAAGAGTCTCTTACCCAGTGGAAGGTCCTAGCTTAGCATCTGGATGACCATCTTAAGCATCAGCTGCCATCTTAAGAAAAAGGTTTGCTTTCTCACCCAATGTAACTGACAATTCTTTTGTTATTCAGCCAACATTATCCTTTTTACTCTGATAATGTCAAAATTAATGAAGAACACGAACACCTCATTCTTGTTTTATAGACAGTTTATTAGCTTTCAACACAAGAAGGACCATGGCTGCAAGGGCCCATAGCAAGGTGGCCAGCTTGGGCCACATATGGAGTCCAGCTGATTAGATAGGCCACTGGACATGCCATGTTCCCAGCATTTGAGTCAGACTCCTGTAGCTATTCCATACCATTCATGGACATACAGGAAGAAGGCTTTGTGAGGTCAGGGAGTCCTAGTCCAGGTGCATTGGTGAGTGCTTCTTTAGTGTCCTCAAAGTTCTTTTGTTTTGTTGGCCCCTTAAACAACAGATCCTGTTCTCCTCCTTTTTGGGCCTTCACAGAGAGGTTTTACCATAACTGAATAGTTGGGGATCTATACACAGCAGAATTAAGTGGCACCAAAGATTCTGATTTGGCAGCAGGTTGAAGGGACAGGAATTGAGCAGGTCACCTGTTTCCTCTTGTAGCCCAGTTGCCACTGTCCCTGAGTCATACAGAAACCAAGGTACTTGACTTTTCTTGGGGATCTGGGCTTTCTTTTTTAAACTTTGTAACCAGCCTTACATAGGAGTGAGTAGAAGCTGTGTTCCTCTTTTGCCATCTTCTCTGGTTGCTCCAACCAGGAACAGATCATCTACATATTGGAACAATGTGCATTTACATTGTTTTGCAGGAAAGGCTTTTAGTCAGAAGCCATTACCATCCCAAAGATGGTTAATGAGTTTTGAAATCTTGTGGTAACCTAGTCCAGTTCAATTGGCCCTTGTTCCCATTGGAGTCTCCTTATTAGAAGGCAAAGAGTGGCTGACTCTGTGGTACAAGATGTGTGCAGAGGAAGGCATCTTTAAGGTCCAGACATGTGAAATAGCCTGCCTCAGCTAGGGGCAGACTTGAGAGATTATGTGGATTGGGGACCACAGGATGTAAGGTGACTGTGGCTTGATTTTCTGCATGTAAATGTTGGACTGGCCAATACTTATCAGTTTCTGATTTCTGGACAGGCATAAGAGGTGTATTTCACGGGAATTGGTGAGTTCTGAGAATTTCACAATGTAAAAGTGTGATCAAATATTTTTGAATTCCAAGTTATGCCTTTTAAGGAATATGTCATCATCTCAGGTGTACTGGTATGGCTTCAGGTTCACATTTCATCACCACTGGAAGAAAGTTTTTAGCTAGTCCAGGTGGGTTGGCCTCTGTCCATACTCCTTATATTAGGAAAGGGATATGTGGTTCCTGTTGTGCTGTTTCTACTAGGCTGAAGAGGTGCCACTTCTTTTTCCAGGGAATTGTGAGGGTTAAAATTCTTGCTTCAGGTTTTCCCAATGATACCAGTGACTGGAATTTTGCATCAATATTTTTCTGGGCTTGGAGCTTTCCTACCAGGTCTCAATCTATCAATTAAACTGGGAAATGTGGCATGTGTAGGAACTGATGAACTACTTCATGGCCTGCTAAATTTCAATGCTGTGGTAACAGGAAAGGATGATGAGCTTTGTTTCCTGGGGCCCCCACAATTGTGGTCTCTTTCTTTGAAAGTAGTTCCACAGGTTGGGTCACAACCAAATGGTGAGCACCAGCATTCACCATAAATTCCATAGGTTTTTTCCCTGTAAGCATTTGAATCATAGGCTTCTGAGGGCCCAAAAGGATAAAGCCCAGTCATCAATCCTAGTCCTCATCATCATTTTCAATGGCTTCCAGTCCCACAAAAATTTCTCATGGGCATTATAGGGGTGTCTGTGGCATTGAGCATCAAGGGGGACACATTTGTAGAACTGGTATCAACCTTGAATGACTTGCCCTCTCTTATCCTGGTAAGGAATAGCAAGAAGTCAGTGGGCTTTCTTCAGTTTGGGGCATTTATTTTTCCAGTGGCCCTCTAGATGGCAGGGGACTTAGTCTCAGTCTAGTCTCAGGGTGAGGTGGTTGGTGGAGACCATCCTTGTGCCCTGCATCTGGTCTGATTTGGGTATTTGTTTTGGCTTTGTCCTGGTGGGAAACCCTTTGGGTGACTTCTGGGTTTATAGTAAGGGCAGGTGCAAGGAGAAACCATCTTCATCATCTTTCAGTCTGCTTCTTGGTGGGTATCCTGGTGTTGATTGACAAACACTGTGGTGGCCACATCAAACAGCTTCCCAGCGAAACCCTCTAGTGTTTTGTAATTTGGGTGACTGTCACTGTGTGCCTTCCCACAAAGCTTGCATTGACCACCTGCTGGTTGTCTGGTGCCTCTGGATCAAAGGGAGTGAAGAGTCAGAGGCTTCACACAGTTGTCCATAGAACTGGCTGGGGCTTTCATCAGGATTTTGAAATATCTTTGATATCTTGTTCATGTTTAGGGCTCTCCTTCTCCTTCTTTTAGGTCTCCTATAAGGGCTTCTTGATATCTCTTTTTCTTTTGGAGGTCTTCATCTTTGCTGTGATTCCACCCTGAGTCTGTGTTGGGAAACTGGGCCTGGGCATGGGCTTTGATGTTGCCTTGTGCATCTGGGTCATGTTCTTCTATCCATTTTAAAGTGCTCAGGTCACCCATTTGCTCTCCTCTGTATTGATAGAGTAAGACATAGCTGGCAGCAGTTCCCCCAGTGTTTTAGTCAGCTGTTTTGCTGCTGTGACTAAAGGATCTGAGAAGAACAATTTTAAAGGAGGAAAAGTTTATTTTAGGGCTCACAGTTTCAGATGTCTTAGTTCATAGAAGGTGACTCTGTTGCTTGGGGCTCCAGTTGAGGCAGGATGTCATGGCAGAAGAATGTGGTAGAGAGAAACAGCTCACATGTTGATCAGAAAGGAGAGAGAGAGAGAGAGAGAGAGAGAGAGAGAGAGAGAGAGA